AAAAAAAAAAAAAAAAAAAAAGTCTCCCTCCCTCATCACTTTTCCTGCCCAGATAGGGTGATAAACTAATAATATTTTTTATGGGGCCTTAATTAAAGGTCTAGAACAGTAGTAGTCAAGGCCACATTAAATATTGTTAACTATTATTATTTTCATAGTAAACATGCTAAATGATATAATGTGATTCATCATCATTTGTAATCCTTAAAGATAACATTAAAGTAACGTAACACTACAGTTATAACATAGGCTTAATAGGCCTACAGTAAATAGACCATCTATTGTAATAGACTATAGACAAATGTCCCATGTAACTAAGGTGTGGGATCCTCTCAACAACCCTCTGCTAAGAATAAATGTCCAGTGTGGTCAGCTTACAAGCAACAAGTAATAATTCTCTAATTTAATTCTTTAGAAGAATATATATTAACAATAGAAGAAATAATCAGTTACGTCACACATCATCGCCAGACTTTGGATACCTAAGTTAGGATTAAATCTTCTCTTCAAATTTCTATGTTCCCTAACAAATACTGTGTCATTTATTCGCTAACGCTTTAGGTTTTGTTATTAATACGATACAAATGATGTTATATTTGGTATGAATTTGGTGGAGATGTAGTAATATTATATTAACAATTTTTTTTTTTAGCATGGATAGTCAGAAAGCATGTGATTGGGCAGTATCCTGTCTCCATGGCGAGGAATCACCATTTTCAGGTATGAAGATGATTATCCTAACAAATTGCGGCAAGTGGGGGTTGTTGTGTTTGCAACCCCATCAGATTGACGCGGACGAAACCAAAGTAGCACAATCAAAATTGTCTGTATCTGTTTTATTAGTCCTGTTCATCCGGTAAACTACAATCAAAGCAAAATAAATAGTTTCTATAAATAATAACAATGATTCTGTATAATAGCCACTTTAAACACTGCCTTACATAGTACAAACAACCCGTTGAAGCCTAGCTTAATTCCAGTATTAAACTATTATTATTGACCACACAGCAACAGCCTAAACAGCCCCAAATACATGCTAACTGCTAACATAAATAATTACTGTAAATACAAAACCCTACATGGATTGGGGGAACAATACAGCCACAAGAAAAGCTAAAAGTTGTCTGCATAGCACAGCCCCTGCTGTACACTACACACTACTTAACTAGTGGCACAGAAAATAGTCAAAACAAAAGCTCAACTAATTTGCATAAGGCAGTAAGCACTGCCTTTTCCCACAAAGTTTGTCAGCATAGATCAGGTTCTATTTTCTCTATGGTTAGCTACAGATCTTGCTATCAAGGTATAACAGAATTTAAATGCCAATATCATGTACACAACAGGGGTGTTATGAATACCCTCAACTGTTAAAAAAAAAAAAAAAAAAAAATGTTTATAGTTGTTAAAAATAAGCAGACAAAATTGTATGTATTTATATGTATTTTTTTACTCTATTATTGCTATTGAATTTTTTTAAATTACTGATATTGTTTGTATGAAATATTTTGCTATTTATTCTATGCATATTTTGATATCTATTATTTTATTGAATTTTTTGCTGTTTGTTACTGATATTGTTAGTATTAACTATTTTTGCTGTTTTTATTCTGTCCATATTGAATTTTTTTGCTGTTTGTTACTGATATTGTTAGTGTGAAATATGTTTTAATGCTTTTTGTCTGAAGTTATTGATTTTTTAACAGTTTAAGTGTTCATTAATTTAATGAAATGTACTGTAATTCCATCTGTAATTAATTATAATAATGTGTCTTATTGATTGAATGCATATTTTTATTGTAATTGCCAAAATTTGTTCTTAATTATCGATTTAGAATGAATTGCTATCTTTATTTGTAACTTCTTTGTATTGTTTATATAATAATTATGCGTGTTTCATATAAAATGCAAGTGCAATACTTATCATTGGTAGAGTTTCTGTTTTGTGTCTAAATTTTGTATTGTAAGCATAATTCATTGTAATTACAAAACATTTAACATTAAAAAATACATTAATTAATGAATGTTCTTTTTTCTTTCAAAGGATATGAAGATGGAGATGTACCAAAATTAAGTGTCATTCAAATTAAGGAGTGTGAAAGACGATGATTCAGTAGAGAAAATGTGATCTTATACTGATTATTGAAGGTAGTTAGCCGAAGCCCCTTTTTGTAGTAGTACTTTTTTATAACTTGGTTTGTTGAAACAATTCTGAGTTAACCTTTGCATATAGGAAACCCCCCTTACCATGAACCTGGTTACTGGCCTGAATTTCTACAAAAATTTAGGCCTATAATTATAATTAGTGTAGATTTATTTTTGTATAGCGCATAATGCATACAGCCTCTATGCACTTCACATTTAAAGAAATAAGCCAGAGTAAAAAAAAAACATGATTAAAAATAATGAAGATTTGTAACTAGTGGAAGTTTCATGCATCAAATCTACAATAAATTATTAATTTTACAAATTTTACAAATTATTTTGTAATTATTAACTATTTAGTTACTATACAGTATG